CCACATGCCCTGCCCCCGCTCCCCAATGCAAATGTACCCTTGCTGTGGGTAGCCGGTATACTGCTCCCCCGGCTACCCTGACGGCCACAGTCTTGCTAAGTTTAGCTTGGTCTGAGACCAGGTGACTTTTTACCAGGGTGATGGTGGCTCCTGAGTCACGTAGCCCCTGAACCGCTTTTCCCTCCAGATACACGGTCTGCCTGTGATGCTGGCGGTTGTCTGCGTTAGCCTGGACGGGATCTGCCTCGTGCAGTACCTCCCACTGCTCTACGGTTGTGATGGGAACTGCTGAACCATAAGGTGTGGCCACGATGTCCTGGTAGTGATGGGCTGCGGCGGCTCTCGGTGGTGGTGGTGGACCGGGTCGGATCCAGGTGGAACGGTCCCGCAGCTGGGGGCATTCCCTTTTATAATGTCCCCACTTCTGGCAGTGGTGGCAAGGGCCCGACGTGGGCTGGCGAAAACGTGGCTGTGTAGCGGGTGGTGGTGGTGGTGGCAGTGACCTTGGTAGAGCTGGCGTGTAGTTATTTCCCCCAAAGATTTTAAAAGGTACTTTTGGAGCTGCAGGTTTTTGCTGCCTGCGTGCATCCAGGTACTCGTCTGCCTTCCTGGCTGCTTCGGTAAGGGAGGTAGGGTTTCTGTCTCTTACCCACTCCTGTACCTCGCTGGTTACTCCTTCATAAAATTGCTCCAGCAGTACCATTTGCAATACATCCTCCATAGACCGTGCCTTGCTCGCTTGCACCCACCCCAAGACTGCTCGTTGTAGTCTGCATGCCCACTCAGCATGTGAGTCTTTCTCCACCTTCTTTAAATCCCTGAATCTCCGCCGGTATGCTTCTGGTGTTATAGCATACCTGGCCAATATAATTTCTTTCACTTTGTGATAATTCCGAATTTCATCATTCGGTACAGTCCGGTATGCCTCAGCTGCCCTCCCAGTTAACCTTCCTGCCAAAATAGGTACCCAGTCCTCTGCGCTGATTCTATGCAGTGCACACAGTCTCTCGAAATCTTGCAGGAAAGCGTCTATATCTTCCTCTGCCTACACATATGTTTTAAAAGCCTGGTACGGTATTTTCAGCTTACCTTCATGTGGCATATTTACTGCAGAGCTGCGTTCTGGGGCCGCTGTTTGACTCCTCAGTATAAACTCCTGGACCTCCGTTATCGTTTTGGAAACAATCTCTGTTGGAGGGTGTTCCCATAGAAAGACAGCCGAAATTGTACCTGCCTCTGGAACTCCCTTTGTTCCGGTGTTTCTCCCGAATTCCCTTGTTCGGGAACCGAATCGCCTTCCATTCGGTACTCCGCCATCAGTTCAGTGATAAGTGCCGCTTTTGTCTTATTGCTGGCTTGGATACCCCTTGCCTCCAGAAGGTCTTTTAGCGTGGAGCGTTTTAGTGTGGCAAAATCAATCTCCATCCGTACTCCATTTAGGCTTGTTCCTCTGTGAGTCTGGATCCCAGCGCTGCCAACCAATGTAGCGGAGATGCAATAGTACCCAGGTTATCTCCGCTTATAATCCAAGTGAGACTCAGGAACAAGTAAATAGTAAATCCAAAGGCAGGGTTTCCAGCAGGTAAAATACAGCAATATCCCAACAGCAATCCCAATAACTGGACGACACACAGTTTCAGGAGCATAACTGACAAGCCTTTAATCACAGTCTCCTTATAAAGCATGCTCCCATGCAAGGGAGGGATTTACAGTAATTATTACAGTAGCCAATCCTGTCCTGGTAACCTCCCACACATCCCCTCCCCTCAGCCAGCATCATAATCCCCTTAGCCAGCACACCAATTCCCCCCATTTCTGGATGTACCCCTAAACGTAGGGGTACCCCTTTAAATCATACATCCCCGGGTAGCCCTGATCTGGGTGAACAACATATCCAAAAATCACCCAGATCGGACCAGGGGTTCGGGAAAAGTATGGAGGGAATAAAATGACCGACCGCACGAACAGAGCTAGCCGAATTCGGTTCCATGTGAATGGGCCTTGCGGTCGGTCCTGGCATAAGGGAATAAAATACACGAAAGCCTCTAGCTATAGAGGCTAGGGAGGGTTCGCCTGAATCCCCTCGTTCGGTATTCTCTATTTACCGAACGAGGGGCCGTTCGGTAGTTTGGAACCGAACGGACCAGGGCTGTGGAGGTCTCAGCGGTGTTCGCCTACTCGAGTGTCCGATTTTAGTTCCAGACACTCGACGGCAAAACACCGCTGTTCGGGAGTTTTAAAATGGCCGCCGCCACGTGTTCGTTTGTCGAATGGCGGCCACCCCCGAGAACAAAGGACGGCTACTTACTGTTCAATTACCCGTTCGCAACAATGTTGCAACGGGTAATTGAGGACACACTTCACACAGGGAGGTCTGGTTGTTCGGTAGTTTCATTCGAATAAACTAAGGGAATGAAACTACCGAACAATCAGAGGAATACAATTCTTTTTCAATACACAGAAAATACAGCAGATACACGGATGCAGCTTTATACAGTATTTTTGTAGGGTCGCCTGGTGCCATCCGCTACACTTTCATAGTTAAACTAAAACAAGACGGCAAACCTATTTTGAAGAGACTTCCAAATATGCATAAAAAAGGAAATAAAATCCTTCTTATCTCCATTAGCTATCCGATTAATCCATGACCAGCACGTTTTTACCCTCCGTATTGTGTCTCTTAAATGTTATGAGTTTGTTGTAGTATTTTTGTTTACCCATGAAAATACCTGTTTGTAGACATGGAGATTTGTTTTGGTCAAAACTGCAATTTGTTTGAATTTGGACTGATTGCGTAATCAATCAAATTCCCAAACTACGAGATGAATTGCCTCCGAATCACAAACCAACCTTAACGTGCAATGGCCGAGCATTTCCGTTTCAATTCGTGATTCTAGATTCCACTTCTGGCATTAAAAACAGATGCATTTACCCCTTAAGGACTGAGCCAAATGTACATGTTGCGATCAAAACAAAACGTAAACAAAAGCGGTGTCTCACGTGTAAAACAGTACCCCATATGGACAGGTTTTTATGGTGTTTTGGGAAGTTACAGGGTCAAATATACAGGTGATACTTGGAAAATTAGAATATCATGCAAAAGTTCATCTTTTTCAGTAATGCAATGTAAAAGGGGAAACATATATGAGATATACACATTACATGCAAAGCAAGATAGTTCAAGCTGTGATTTGTCATAAGTGCGATGATTATGGCTCATGAAAACCCCAAATCCACAATCTCAGTAAATTAGAATATTGTGAAAAATTGCAATATTCTAGGCTCACAGTGTCCCACTCTAATCAGCTAAGTAAGCCATAACACCTGCAAGGTGTTTCTGAGCCTTTAAATGGTCTCTCAGTCTGGTTCAGTAGGAATCACAATCATGGGGAAGACTGCTGACCTGACAGTTGTGCAGAAAACCATCACTGACACCCTCCATAAGGAGCGAAAGCCTCAAAAGGTAATTGCGAAGGAAGTTGGATGTTGTCATGCGGTAACACTTCCAGGTTTGGCACTTCCGCGATGTGGAGCTGACCCCACCCCTCTCTGACGCAGCTCTGACTGTACTTAAGCAGTCCGTGCCAGAGAGAGGGTGCTTGGTGATTGTGTGACCTACTTCCGCCATACTCGCCGGCTCCATAGACTCTGACAAGCCGTCCTAGCCTTTGAGCTAATGCATGGATGATACTGCATGCCATGGAGGATTACTGGAGAACTGTTACTTGTTAATTATTAAGTGGACTATAACTTTGAACTCTTGGAGGATAACTCACCTTAACCTTAAGTATTCCTTCCAGCTATTCTCTGCTATCTCATTTATTAATTAACTATTTACTGCTTGCTTAAAACTTCACTGCTTCAAGCTACTAATTATATGGAGGAAAACTCCCCATCAAGCTTAATCACTAGGAACTGTTTCTTGCTTTGCAAATACTTTGCTACCTGCTAAATGTCTCTATTGAAGATTATTCACGGCAACCTAATGAATCTTATTTAATATATCTCTGAGGAAATACTTATTGATGAACTTTGTATTGTTTAATCTCTTTCACTTATTCTTATTGGATTATTGCCTAAATGCAATTCATTAAGTTTAACAATTATTAAAACTTCATTTGATTCTCAAAGTGCCAGCAATCCTCTCCTTTCTTAAAGCTACAGTATTGATACTTTAAAGATTCTCCGCTTCTTCACTATAGTAATTAAGGAGTTCTACAAGCTGCAGTTGAGTCCCAATCCAAATAACCCAAGTAGTGTAACAGATGTTCCCAAAGTGCTGTATCAAAGCACATTAATAGAAAGTTACGTGGAAGGGAAAAGTGTGGAAGAAAAAGGTGCACAAGCAGCAGGGGTGACCACCGCCTGGGGAGGATTGTCAGGAAAAGGCCATTCAAAAGTGTTGAGGACTTTCACAAGGAGTGGACTGAGGCTGGAGTCGGTGCATCAAGAGCCACCACACAGAGACGGATCCCGGACATGGGCTTCAGATGTCGTATTCCTCTTGTCCAGCCGCTCCTGAACAACAAAAAACAACGTCAGAAGCGTCTTACCTGGGCTAAAGAAAAACAGACCTGGTTTGTTGCTCAGTGGTCCAAAGTCCTCTTTTCTTATGAGAGCAACTTTTGCATCTTATTTGGAAACCAAGGACCCAGAGTCTGGAGGAAGAATGGAGAGGCACACACTGCAATATGCTTGAAGTCCAGTGTGAAGTTTCCACAGTCTGTGTTGATTTGGGGAGCCATGTTATTTGCTGGTATTTATCCACTGTGCTTTATTAAGTCCAGGGTCAATGCAGCCATCTACAAAGAGATTTTGGAGCACTTCATGTTTCCTTCCAAAGACGAGCTTATGGAGATGCTGACTTAATTTTCCAGCAGGACCCTGCCCACACTGCCAAAAGCACCAAAGCCTGGTTCAATGACCGTGGGATTACTGTGCTTGATTAGCCTGCAAACTCGCTTGACCTGAACCCCATAGAAAATCTATGGGGTATTGCCAAGAGAAAGATGAGACATGAGACCGAACAATGCAGAAGAGCTGAAGGCCGCTATTGAAGCATCCTGGTCTTCCATAAAACCTCAGCAGTGCCACAGGCTGATAGCTTCCATGCCATGCCGCATTGAGGCAGTAATTGCTGTAAAAGGGGCCCAAACCAAGTACTGAGTCCATATGCATGCTTATACTTTTCAGAGGTCCGATATTGTTCTATGTACACTGCTTGTTTTATTGATTGCATGTAATATTCTAATTTACGGAGATTGTGGATTTGGGGTTTTCATGAGCTGTAAGCCATAATCATCACACTTATGACAAATCACGGCTTGAACTATCTTGCTTTGCATGTATTGCGTCTATCTCATATTAGTTTCCCCTTTTACGTTGCATTACTGAAATAAATTAACTTTTCCACGCTATTCTAATTTTTCGAGTATCACCTGTAGCATGTTACATTTTTCAGTTTTTTCACATTGAAATTCACCAGATTGGTTACGTTGCCTTTGAGACCGTATGGTAGCCCAGGATTGAGAATTACCTCCATGATGGCATACCATTTGCAATAGTAGACAACCCAAGGTATTGCAAATGGGGTATCTCCAGTCTTTTTTAGTAGCCACTTGGTCACAAAAACTGGCCAAAGTTAGCGTTAATATTTGTTTGTGTGTGAAAAATGCAAAAAACTAATTTGAATGCCAATATTGGCCAGTGTTTGTGAATAAGTGGCTTCTAAAAAAGACGGGGCATACTCCATTTGAAATACCTTGGGTTGTCTACTTTTGCAAATGGAAAGCCATGATGGTGGTAATTTTCATTCTTGAGCTATCATACGGTCTCAAAGGCAATGTAACCAATCTGGCGAATTTCAATGTGAAAAAACTGAAACGCAAGCCTTATATTTGACTCTGTAACTTATATTTGTACTGTTATACTCGGGAGACTTCGCTGAACACAAATATTAGTGTTTCAAAACAGTAAAACGTATTACAACAATTATATGGTTCGTGTAAGTACCATTTGTGTGTGAAAAATGCGAAAAATGTCACTTTCAATGACAATATCGTTGTTGTAATACATTTTACCGTTTTGAAACACTAATATTTGTGTTCAGCGAAGTCACTCAAGAAAACAGAACCCCCCACATACATGTTTTATGGTGTATTGGAAAGTTACAGGGTTAAATATAGTTCTAGCATATTAAATTCCCTGGACTTTCTGCCTGAGTTATCAGACAGGTCCCGCAAATTGTAATTAATAAAATGACCTACTTATGTAAAAATATTACATAAATATATACGTAGAATTAATATATATGTAAGTAGCAGTCAGAGGGAAAGATTTCACGATCGGCACACACAGCAATACTAACTCTGTGTTCACCGATCAAACAGCATAGCAGTCGTGGGTGAAATTGCGTTCCACTGATCACCGAGCAACCAAATGGAATGCAGTGCCCAGCAACTACGGTTGAGGCACTTTGATCAACCATTCCACATGCAGTCTGAACGCCATTTCGGTTCTCTCTCACATGAAGCTGGTTAGTACCCTTTTATATTTGTGTATTTTATTGCCATCCTAATATAAGCCCATGTATTGGGGCTGAAACATCAATATTTTTAAATGATATAGAATAAAAGTAATATTTTATTTTTACTATCATCAAGTCCTTGGAGTGCAGTCATTTCCAATCATTTTTTTGTATTCTGTGCCTGACCAACACCGGGCAATTACTTTCTAATCCAGGATTGCAAGCATCTTGGTTTCTTATATATATATATATGTAATAAGGCCATTTGGTCTGTAATTGTGGGAGGGGCTTATCACTTTACTTACCTATTTAAGGAACACCACTTACCTGGCTCCATATCGTTCGAGGTCAACGTTTGAATGAGATCCACTTCCGGGTTATCCAGACGCCATTTTTTGACTGTACCTGTGCTTCACGAGGTCTTTCTACTTCAGCTGTGTTTACAGGATTCAAGCCGCAAGGTTTTCCGGTCAAACAGCTTTCCAGCTACGCAAATTGAGTCCTACCACTCACCAAAACATAAGTTGATCCACGCGCCAGGTGCAGTCCCACGGCGTCCTCACGGGTTGGGTCCTCACTTTACGGTTTCCATTCGTATGTTTTCACATGTGGCGTACACTTACAGAAGTGTCACTTACAGTGTCCGTTTGTTTGCTACTTTCGTTACATAGTCCATTTGTTTGCTTCACTCTTCATTCATAGAAACTCCCAAATGAGAACACCTTACCACGGTAATCTGTATACACAGTTCCCATTAAAAACAGACACTCCAGTGCCAGGAAAACAAACAATTTTCCTGGTACTGCAGGTACCCTCTCCCTCACACCACCCATCCCATGTTGCTGAAGGGGTAAAAATCCCTTCAGTGACTTACCTGAGGCCCCCGCCGATGTCCCTCGGCGGTGGTTTTGGGTCCGCCCACGCTCCTCCCCTGCCAACGTCATCTGGCAGGGGAGACCGATTGCGCATGCGTGGCCGCCGGCGGGGGAGACCTAATGCGCATGCGCGGCAATGCCGCGTGCACATAGTAGACCTCTCCATAGGAAAGCATTGAAAATGTCAATGCTCCCCTATGGGGAATTCAGCGACGCTGGAGGTCCTCACACAGGACGTCCAGCGACGCTATAGCACCGAAAACCTGTGCTAGAAACCAGGAAGTGCCCTCTAGTGGCTGTCTAGTCACTAGAGGAGGAGTTAACCCTGCAATGTAATTATTGCAGTTTATGAAAACTGCAATAATTACACTTGCAGGGTTAAGGGTGGTGGGAGTTGGCACCTAGACAACTCCAATGGGCAGAAGTGGTCTGGGTGCCTGGAGTGTCCCTTTAATTGCACGAACGGCGGTTTCAACATAACCCCAATACTGACCTCTACAGGTTAAACTTCATATTACAGCATAATTTACATTATGAATTGTTCAGTTTTCTGGCATATTTCAAGTATCCGTATTAGGCATGAGGTACTATTGGTGGAGACTTACAGCTTGTAGTAAGACTTTTAAAGTTAATTAATTTGCAAATTTATCAGTTGTTTTCTACTTAATTTGACTTAGGAGCGTGGAGATCAGTGCATTTTTATTTATTACTGGCTGTGTGCAGGTTATTATAGATACAGTTATGATATACCTATTTTGTTATTATTGACCATGTCCTGAGATGTAAAAATACAACAATTATAGCTGACAGGCTACTTCTTATTATGCTATTTCTCTATAAATTGTCACCTATGTGTAATCTATGTTGTCATCAGGCTCATTCCCTAGACACACCAGAGATATGTGGGAATTTTTTCATTAATGACATAGCTACTAGTAGCACGGGGTTCAACATGATTTTCCATACCTATACCTATGCTTCGCAGTTAAAGTCCATTATTTACACAAATGGACTCCACTATCAGTCAAACACTCACAGTCACACCTTCTGAGTGCGGCTATTCATGCATGAATGGGGGCCTAAGGTATTATAGTATCCTCACATACGGGGAGGAATTTGCAACATACAAGTAACTATTTGACAGAGCGCTTTGCTCTTATACATGTATGTTACATATATTATGATAAGGATGGTATGTCTATATTCATTACTTCATACATTGCTTTATCCTTTCAGGTTACAGGTACTACTAAAGCCTAAACAACTTAAATTCATAGACCATACTTAAACAGTTACGTACACCTGCTCATGTTGGTATATATACATCTCGTTCCCCCAGGTTTAGATATTCATGTACTGGCAATTATGGACTCTAGGGTCCAATAGGTATTTCCTTTCCTCGGCTTCTACGCCTTCTGTTAGTGATCCCGCAAGGCCAACGCCCCGCCTCACACTCGGAGGTATACACCCATCAGGCCACTCATTAGCTAGCCGCCTCACACGGTATCATAGAGAGGGCCTCACCTGTCAATCCCTTTCCTATTTTCTGCTTACAGTCACAGAGGGGCCGACACGCTGCCACTATGTTCGGTGGCCACTAAAAATCCCCTTGCGCCAAATCGTAGTTAGAGCCTCTCAAGCCACTTGTCAACTAGTAGGGCCTCAAATTTCACCAGAACCAAGAATAATTGTTTTGCCATATGGCTTTAGCTAGCAATCCAGTACAAGACCCCTGTTGTGCAAATAATAATGGCAATCTTCATCTCAAGAAGGTGGCGAGGATTTCTCTCTACCTAGCTAGATCGGGCACACCTTCACGTAGAGGTGATGTTGCTAGTCCTACATCGATAAGATCCTGGATAATCCCACGCATTACTACCGAGCTAAGGAGGCGACAAATCCCCTACCCAGCTACAGCAAGAAAAGCAGAACTTTTTAAACTGCTCCGTACATCAACAGATAACATAGAGACGGGGAAGGCACCAGCAACAACAACTCGGGTGACATCCATGTAATGTTATCATCACTCATGAATTCCATGAGCAAAGTGAATGACAGGCTAGAGAATCTCGAGTCGGTCACCACAGCCCTTACTAAGGCTGGGCCTCCAGCTACAGTAAACTGGTTCAGTCACTTCTTCTGACGTCCAGAACATTAACCCTGCACACATGATTCCAGTTCACATATATAAGAAAGATATCCTGGAAGGTAAAGATGTCAACTTAGCATCTCTGCTAATTGCCTCCCAGGATATTGTTGAAAAAAAAGTATGCTTATGATGATGTATCTGTGGTAGTTAGAACCAGGGATTCAAGGTTAAACAGAAACTGACCATCCCTGAGCTTTTTTTTAGCTTTTGGCATTTATAGAGATGTGATTTGTGCAGTTTACCCAATCTGAAGGGAAGAATTCGACCTATACATGCACAAGCTGGTAGACCTAGGCAACAAATATGGTGGTACAGCATTTTACAGCTACCATGGGTCTTTTTCAGCCGAAGTGTTTGGTGCTCTCTCCCAATTCAGGCACAGAACCAACTGGAGCAAACTGGATACCGAGATATTCTGCAGACACTTTGCAGGTCTTAAGACACCAGCTTGTGCATCCTGCTCTTCTACTACCCATACGACCAACTTTTGTCCCAACACAGCGGACGATCACTCTTAAACTCCAGTCCCTAGCAGCTCTGCTAGAACTGAAAGAACTACCAGAGACAAATTGGGTTGTCCCGTTATATTTTTTGGCAAATCCCAGATTTGCAACAATTTCAATGTTGGCACATGTAGTTTCAGTGCATGCAGACTGTTGCATATATGTTTAAAATGTTTCAGGGCACATGCTAAAACCATGTGTCCCAATAAAATGT